AAGAGGAAACAATTCTCTCGTTTCTTTAAATTTTGCTCATTTAACTCAAGGTTTAAAAATAATTTTTGAAAAAAATAGTTTTACATAATATATTTTTCAAAATGAAGTTATTTTTTTCAAACTAAAATTAAAAAATTATTTAATATCTTCCTTTTACAAAAGTGTTTATTAATACTTTTTTTAAAAAAAAATTTGTTCTTTCACTTATTATATATGTTTATTATTTTGTCCTTTAATGGATGGCTTTTCTATTATATCATCAACCACTATTAATTTATCTTAAAAACTAATAAACTTTGTTTATAATAATTTTTTAAAAAAAAATTCTCTTCTATCAACTTTTTTTAATTTATATACATAAACAAACAATTTCCTAATCAATCTGGCTAAAGAATATTTCTGGCTTCCGCTATCAATTGTGTCTGTATCACAACAATTCATAATAAAATGTTAAATTTCAGAATCTCAACCTAATTTTGGGGATATCCTTGATATTGCCATTTTTTAAATGATTTATTCCCGTAATGAGTGAAACAGGATTCGAATAATTGAATTGAGAATCGGAAGCTTTTCTCCCTGTAGCTCACAACCCAACAAGCTCTCCAAGTCGCGTGGGTATCCACTGTCCACTAAACGGGACCACCCACCAGTTTCCACCTCAGGTTTCACTGTGCTCCACAAGTTCCACCTTTCCAGAGCCTGAGCGTGTCGGCAATTTACAGGCAGCAATGTTATAATTATATACCAGAGTTGTTTTAATATGTGTTTTAAGGTATAAATTAAATATATTTTTTTAAATTAATTATTATTAAAAAATAAAATTTAATATTTATTTAATTAATTATTTAATTAAAATAATATATGTAATATTAATGATAAAATTAATGTCAATTTTTATTATTTTTTATACTAATTAATATCAAAAATATATATTAATAACACTTTTAATCTCTATCTTTTTTTTTTTTTTGAACATTTTGGTAAAAGGCAGGTTCAAAACTCGCCTAAAGAATGGGGGGAATGCACCAGCTGACTGATTAATACCAGTGGGCCTCTAGTGCTAGGTGCACTTTTAATCTCTACTTTAATTATACAGGTTAAATAAATTCTTATATATATAATGTTTATGGAAAAATATGTATTAGTTTGTATTATAAAAAATTAAGTGAAAAAATATTTTAAAATTATATTATTTAATAAAATATTATAAAAATTAAAATTTTTTAATTTTTTAATAAAAATTTATTAAAAAATATAATTTTAAATATATTTTTAAAAATGAAGTTATTTTTTTTGTAA